TCCCTTACCTTACTTCAGACCTGTCACTTGGGGCCGCCCCCTCTCGGCTCCGGTACTCATATGTCGCACTAATTCATGTATGAGCTGGCTCCCGGGTGGCAGCTCGCAGCGATATCAGTTGCACCCGTCTCAGGCAGCGGGACTGATCGCCCCGCTGGGGAGGAGCGTCGAGAGGTCGCAGACCCGCGGCCGGTGTCCTAGCATCGCCGCACCCGAGGTTAGCGGTCTTCTGGATGGCGACTCGCAGCGGCATCCCCCGCTGTCGGTTAATGCTCCATCCAGGCCGCTGCTATCCATCACAGTCGGGTCAATGGGTCTGTGCGACACGTGACTGGCACGCGTTTGTCTATGGAGGACATTCTGCGAAAAACCCTGTCACCAGATGCGCAGACGATTGCCCAGTGGGAACCACACGCGTTTTCACCCGCCTCGCGGCCATAGGCGTGCCGGGGCCGCAGGGCCTCAGGCCGCAGGGCCTTAGGGCCGCAGGGCCTTCACACTCGACCCTTTGTGTTCCATTAGCCTGCTTTACCTCCTCGGGCGACTTCGGGAACTCGCCAGGAGGACAGCGCCGGGAGGCAGCTCGCACCTGATTAGGCCTCGGTCATCACCGCAGACTAAGTGGGAGAGCCCCCACGCGTTAACTGCGAAATTGTCTATGCAGTCCATGGCGCGCTTTTCCAGCCAGCCCATCACTGCCTGCCGCGACGTCCAGCACTCGCGCCGGGCCCCGAACCTCTCAGCGTGCGCTGCGGCCGCCAGCGCTCCGCGGATATCCATTACACTGGCCGCATTCCTCACTCTCCAATGGACATAATGACCGCCCTGCTTCCAGGGCCTTGGCTACCAGCGGCGCGGCACACGCCGTTGCCAGGTGGGCGGCAGCTGCTGCCAGGCGAACGGCGGCGGTTGCTGAGCAGGCCCGCCCGGGACGTATCTTCGATCGCCTTCGGCGTTGGATGATCTTCCCTTGGGCTTTTATAATGGTGTCATGGATGGTGACCGCGCTTGTTGGCACGCAAGCTCATTGTCATCGCGTGAAGTTGGGGATTGCATTATTAACTGGCATGCATTGCCAGTTAATAATGTAATTTGGGGGGCACACGGCTGTTGAAAAAAATACATTTCAGGCACGGGGCCAGCAGTGCTCTCCCTCTTTGCCACCGCAGTAACATGACAGCCATCTTGTTTACAAGAGTCGACAAAACGGACGATTTTACGGTTATGAAAAAACGCATTTTCGTGTCATGTAAGCGGGTGTCAACGACACTGCGACAGCCACGCATCGTGCCATGACTTTACGATGATGCGAAATTTGTCACAAACATTCACGTCACATGGCTCCACCCAGGCACCAAATATTAGATTGTGGCATTCAAGCGTCCTTTTTCCAGAGACATTCAAACCTTGGAAATAACAACCTCGCGCGTGTTAACATGTGGGCATTGCATGCCAGTAAAAGACAGCGAGACTTTTTTGATCCCTAAAATTAAGCACGAACACGTATTATGTACGTGTGCAGTTTTTCGTTAAACAAAATTTGTGATGTCTACATTTACGAACTTCAGAGGCTCTTAAGCAATGGGATTTAGAACATCTCTATAAAGCAACACAAACAGCGTCGTAATGTGCCACCAAAACTAAGGAGTGCTGCACAATGCATCCTGTGGGATGCATGTATACATCGTCTCTCACATGACGTGTCATATGACAGCGACCCGCTCCTGTGACTAGCCAGCCGGCTGGTTTTGGAGCCGTCATCTCTGCTTCCGAGCCAGACATCGCTGCCGTCCACGAAACCAGCGAGTGCCCTGGCATCACGTGCACGCTGCAGCCCGGCAGATGACTGTATCCGTCAGTCGCGCGCATGCAGCTCTACAGCGTCGCACGCGGGTATCAGGCGCGCCAGTCCATCGATCCGGCGCGTGCGAGGTGGCAGAAGGGGTCTCTGGGAGTCGCCGGGTGCTGGAGCAGGCTCAGCATGGGCACCTGCCACCTTCAGAGATCAGCACTTCCTGACTCTCATCGACTGCGGACCACCGCGGCACCCCATCTGGAGGCGGCTCAGATGTCAGGACAGGACCTGTGTTGTCAGGCAGCTCAAGTCGGTGTTCGAGCGTAGCGCGCTGAGGGGGCTGTTGACTTACAACGCCACCAGCCTTCGCAGCCCAGGGCTCCGCGGGTTCGCCAGCCGCTGGGGCATGGACGCGAGACATCGTTGTGCGCATGCTCCGCCTGACAAAGGGACATCGGAGCGGGGTCACCGGTCGGTGAACACCAGAGCGTCACGGAAGCGTCGTTGTCATGGAAACTGTCTATCGCTCGAACGAAATGCTGCGAAGTGACGAGCCCTCCTCTTCCCTCGCCAGCTGGCTATTCCGATACCAGATCAGACTGCTTGAAATCAGCGATATGGGGGAGAATGAGCGATCGGAGGGCGCTTACCGCTTCAATATCGGTGATCGTGAGCGGGTTCGGCACCCCAATCGACGCTGCGTGGTCGCGAGCTCTATCGGCACGCTGACCAGGACCGTCGCCGCGCAGAACGTCGAGATCGATGGCGTGTCTCGTCACGTGCGCGGCTTGCAGCTCGCCGCGTCGCCACCGCCGGCGCAACGGCGCTCCAGCGGCGACGCGGGCGACGATGACGACGCTCTGGCTGTTGAGGTGCCGGCTCCCGTGGCCATGGCCGGTAACGGGGAGGGGGAGCGGTCGAGAAGCGGTCGAGCAGTATGGTGACTGGGTGTGAGATCAGAGTGTGGTGTGGGCGCCGCGCCGGCGCCGTGAGGGGCAGCGCATGCATCCTACAGGATGTGTTGTGCAACATTCCTTGGTCTTGGTGGCATGTAAGGACGCTGCTTGTGTCATTTTATAGATGTGTCACATATCTCCTGGTTTCAGAGCCTCCGGAATGCGTCAGTTTAAATGTCACAGATTGTCACTTAATGAAAAACTGTACACGTACATGATACGCGATTGTTCTCAATATCTTGAAACTGCAATATCTTGCAATTGATTGCAGTCGATTAGTTTCGAACAGATCGAAGGAGTCTTTCTGACTTTTAGCTTGCACGCAATGTCTGTATGCCAACCGTGTGAGGTTGTCACTTCCGAGGTCTCTGAAAGACGAACGTTTAAATGCTACATTATAACATTTGGAGGCTGGATGGAGCCATGCGACGTGGATGGTTGCGTCAAATTTCAAGGCAATCAAAGGAATCCGATTAGGGGTGACCTTGTACTCCCACGGTTTTCTCAGGCGTAATTTCGAATGTCGCAGTTGGAGAGTATTTTATTGTTTAGGATGCTTTGTTTTATCAACATACCAAATTTGGTCGATATCTGCGGAGTTCACGCATATTTACTAATAAGTGGCCTTGAACGACCTTGAACTTTAATCCTTTGTAATTCTGTTCTTTCTTATATCACACTTACTGACCTTTATATGGTGTGATTGGCTCTATATGGTGTACTTAGCTTTATCTGTGGGCCAAGCCTCACTCTAATCGGTGAATGGGTGGAATGTGGCTCGCGAATGCGAATGTGAATGTGTGAATGTGAATGCGCCCTGATCGGTCCCGCCACCTGAGGCTTTCCTCCTGCAACGAGTACTGCAGACCACCGTGCAGGCTTGAGTCATCTCGCGCGCAAGATACTGCATTTCGGTTTATGGCCAGGGGTCAGTTTAGAGAAGTTAACTTCACTTCCAGAGTAGGTACTGGCCTACGAAAAAATTGACCACGCGTCTTGCACGCGAGATGACCTGCGCTTTGCCACGCCTCGACGAATGTGTCACATAAATTGTTGTCGCTGCACACGGAGCCCGTGAGCGAGATGAACCTGAGGGCCTTGTCAGTTTGCTCCAAACATGCGCTGACGCGTGGACCAGTGACCGAACTACCCGCATGGGCCATAACCTGCGCCCCTAGCGGTGTACACGGCGGCAGGGCGGCGGTCGTCTGCATACCGAGCGGCGTATCTCATTAGTTGCCTGAGGAAGTTCGACCACTGTGAACAATTAAGAGCGTTACTAGGTCCTTTTTTGTGCGGTAAGGTTGTCTCATGCTGTGTATGCGTGCATGCGTTTGTTCTTTTTATTCCCTACCACTTTCCGTTGTTTGATGTACTGTTTTATCCCCCCGAATAACGACACGTGACAGCCATTTATGTATGTTGAGTCAAACGTCACGTCAAATGTATGTTGAGTCAAACCTGACGTCAAATTTTATTCCATATCGATCAAACTTGACAAGCGTCCGGACGGGTACAAGTGTCCGCTTCCATTTGCAGGTTCATGCGCCGTTCTCATCGTACTGGCGCCAGAATTGCAAAAATAATGCAAAAATCGCATATCTCCAAATTAGCACGCTGGGCGCTTACCGTAAACGTAGGATGAAATTTTCGATCACTTAATGTAAATGATATCGAATTATCGTCACTCTCGCGAGCGATTCCAATCGTAAATTTTACCGCTGTAGTTAAGCGACTCATACAAGCCATGTAAGTTCTTTGTGCGTTGCATGGGTCAACCACCTAGGCTGGGGTCTGTATGGAAAACGTTCCTTTATTTGGAAGGGTAACATTACCAAAGAGTGAGGTTCGCTCACGACTGACTCAAGACAGAAATTGGAACAGAAAAATGTTTGCATACCGAGGGATCTTCGGCCACGACGATCGTGATGGAGAGGTACGCATTTCTTCATGCGTTGCTCTTTTGGAACAAGAAAGTCCTGTAGGTAAGCTGCCGAGGGAAATGATAAATCATCTAAACCATTGAGACCATAGGGAATTTATATGAACTCTGTGAGGCTCACAATAAATTTCCGCCCAGACGTACACATAACAGCCCTCAGTATTCACGGGACAAACATGGTCGTGCGTACCAAATATCACAGCCTAGGAGTTCATATCGCACAAGAGTCACGATACCGAAACGTTCGGTCGTTGCGGAGGTCGACAGATCTGACACCGTCATGTAGGCAGGCATGCGACTACGGGGGGGGGGGGGGAGGGGAGGGGGCGCTATCAATCCGTATTCACGCACCAGGGTAATAGGCCTCAGCGCAAACAGCTGGCGAGACAAAGATCACGGGCCGACGCAGCTGGTGCTGATGTTAGGCCTTTCTGGATGCCACCCTTGGCCAGTTTCGGAGACACATATGGCAGCCCAGTTCATTCCAGGGGGCCGAGAGCCAGATTTGTTCGCCCGCGTTGTGATGACTCAAGACTACCGACGCCACTCAACCAGCACATCCGGCAGCCCCATCGCAATCGCCATGCGACAACTCGCAGTTCCCCATGTTCAGCTGTTGAACCTCTCCCGATTTGGACGCGGAATCCCAGCGCACAAGCCTCTTGTTTTCCTGCCCCCCACGCCATCCATGCCCGAATCCCAACGTTTCGTCTGTCGCGCCCTCTATGCACTCCGCGTCCTACTGCAGTTCGCTACGCCTCCCGCGTGGCGGCGCGTGCGTCACCGCGTCCTCCGCCGGCCGGGCGCGCCGCCACCGGTCGTCGGCGGGCCAGCTGGCGGTGCAGCTGTCGCAGGCGCAGCCGCAGCCGCTGGTTGTCCGCCAGCAGCCGGCGGTTCTGTAAGCGGAGCGTGGTCTCGGAGGCGCGCCACAGCCGCAGCCCCGCAGGCGGTGTCCTCCGCGCGCCGCTGCCGGCACGGTCGGGGCAGTCAGGCGGCGAGCAGAAGCGGGGGTTGATGGCGAGGCAGGGGAGTGCACGGCAGGGACACTGGCGTGGCCCTTCCACTGGTGATATGAGGAGAACGGTAGTGTTCAGCATGACAAATAACACTATCCTATTCAACGCTATATCGATACCAGTGTCACATGCTTTTAGAGCCTAGCCATCCACTTCTTTCGGCGCCGGGTCCAGGGCAGAACATGGTTTACACATTCCCCATAATTTAAACATGTGAATCGCCCATTGAGTGAACCTTTGACCACAGATGATGCCAAACAGACACAAGAACAGACAAAATTATACAACAAAGCCGCATCGAGAGCCCACGCCATGTGATACCTTTGGTGATGGACGTCGTTTGGTTGCGTTTGGATGCGAGATGAGGTGGAGAGGGCACCTGCATGGCCTTCAGGGATGTCCTTCAAACTGGTACCAGTTCTGGAAAACCACAGCCAGTAAGAGCCACTGGATGAGATGCAAAGGTTTGATAATGAAATGGTGAATATTACCTGAATGGGGAGGGAATGAAATGAAAGTGCTATGGCAAAGGTTTGCAAAACATTACATAAAATTCTAACCCAAACTACCACAGATAATGATAGCCTGAAAAAAAACAGAGAGAAAGTCATGCAACAATATGCCATCAAGAAGCTGTGACTCATTCATTAAGGTCACACTGTGGTGGTAATTACTGTCCCCCACATCAAGAAAATCAAATAAAGAACATAATTACCAGACACATACCCAACTTAATCCCAATTCTTAACAAAACATATGAATGGTTTGCATGGGTGACATTGGGTTCATACCCTCAGCATGCCTGCTAACTGCAGACCTTTTCTCATGTGCACCGATCCTACACTATCCTAGTCATGCTGTGTAGTACCAAAAATAGCTGTCACTGCCCTTTTGCAGGCAGGATTATGAGGGGATTTCCAAATGCTGGGCACACCAGCTGAAATGGGACCTCTCAGTTGCCAATCTACCTTTCAATATAACTTGACCTCTCTATATAAGTTGGGCCAAGTAATGTGCCTGCTCCCCTGCCTATATACATACATAATCATAGAGATGAGATATTCAAGGTGATACAACTTCTTCAAGGACCAAACACAGGCAGGGTGGGTACAGATAAACACATAGGACATGCTCACCTGTTTTCTGGCTGGTGCCTGCTGGCAGCTGTCATCCCACTGGGTCCTGCTCCCTGCTGCCAGTCCTGCTGGGAGCCGCCAGTCCTCGCCCTCTCAAACAGGGCACTCTGACCATGCTCTGCAGGCCTGAAACCACCCAGCTGTCTGTACAGTGCTAGTGTCTGGACAGGGAGGAATGTTGAAGAAGAGAAATGCCCTTGATATGCCAAATAAATACAAAAAAACTGCCTGAACATAGGAAACAGCCCAACCAAATAATGTTTAGGTAAGAAAATTGACTTTGACCTATAAATCATGTTAATAACATTAATTTATGTTAAATATTAGGTTAAAAAATGTTAGGTTTTACCATATAATGTTGAAAAGCTTACAAGCCATTATGATAGTATGACAGAACAATTCTGCTCTACAGTCATCACTGCTGATATGTTGAAAAGCAGCAAGCTCACAGTTTTACTACAAAGTGATGGAACTAACCTATTAAGCAACATTTTCCATGCACATATCTATAGCCTTTAAAGATAGTTTAGTCTGTGACACCTGTTTAAATACTTTCACCCCAATACAAGTCCAGCAACAATGGACAACCTGTTCACAGTAAGACAAAGCAAAGAACCTGGTAACACAGCATGTAACAACTATTTGGAAAGAGACATGCACACATGAGTGCCTAACTGCATGCTAGTTATGACCCATAAACAGTAGTTCTACAATGGGGCTTCCTGAATCAACCATACAAGTCTGATTCAGAGCCAAGCAGTTCTAAGGAAAGAACTTGACCCACAACATGTACATCACTGTAAGTCAAACATAATCTAGCTTTTCCCTGGACTGAATAACACATGATGACGGCCAATGGGATGGAAGCTGGGAAACCAGAAGCAATTGCAAATTGCAAAATTGATACTGAAATATATCATCATCACATAAGGTTAGGAAGAGTCAAAATTATCTTGTATTAACAGTGATGTGAAGAGAAGGTTGTTTAAGCTCTCATATGTGAAACTACACAAACCTTATAATCAGAACGATGCCTGCCCCAGGTACGTCCACCCAAGGCACCGCCTCCGGAAGAAGCAATTTTCTTTTTTTGGTTGGTTTGTAATCACACTCCGCGAAATGATCTGAACATACACGAGCAGATTCCTTCAGATCAGATTCTCGTAACCCACATCTTTCAGCCCAAGCTTTTCGTAGTTCACCGCCTTTAGGAAACACAAAGAAACTTCTGCAATTTACATTATTTTTACCATCAAACACATTTTGGCAGGTGGTCACAGCACAATTAACCATTTTTACACAGATGTCCACAACATTTTAGTACAACTAAACCCCGTGGGCACCACCAGCCAACTCGCCCGCCGTCTTCTGTTCATGCATAACCTCCCCCAGCAAAGTACGCGTATGAGTACCCCAAATAATATACATTTATGGCGCGACTGCGTCAAACGTCAAGCTATAACACTTTTCTTCTCTTGTTTGGAGACTCACTCGCGGCCGACGTACATATGGCGTTACGTTTACGTCTGTCGCCCATTTAGCGGTGGTGGCTCGTGACTGTGCAAAGCCCCGGGGGCGGGGACAATAGCTCCAGAAAGACCCTAGGACACAGCTAGCCGCTAGCGTGAGCCAAGGCCCAATGCGCTCCGAGCTGTTACTGGTCTGGGGGCAGCGGAGAGGATCGTTTGAGGAACTGCGGCAGATGAAGTATTGTTTTGCCTCTTTTCGTAAGGCCGTAGAGAGTGAGAGCGAACATCATGATAATATAAAATAAAGAAGGGATTCTTCAGGGGCGTGGTTTTGCAAAGCGAATGTGCGTGTGAGGAGGGGGCCGAACCGTGAACATTTATGAACCTCCCGAAATCCTCTAGCAAACGGGTCTCTCCACGGCTTTTGGCCCCCTTTTCTCTCAAAGTTGGGAGTAAAGGCCAGAGCCCGATATGGGGAAGGGAGGGTTGATGAAACCTCCCAAAATCTACTCTTTCACGCACGCGTGAATAATGGTCTGACCCAAGCAGTTGCTGGTTGACCGGTGGTGACAAAATGGCTATCATTGTGTTTCTCAGATCCACGGCAACCGGCTTTATTCCGTACTTAGATCTCGATTAGGGGTCAAGCGACGATATGGTCCCTTGTATCTTGTTCCGTTAGGCAGTGGAAATCTGCAAAAGCGGTCCATAAATTACGTAGCGTATCTTTGGTAACTTGCAGAACCAACCATTTTCATCCTTTGTCATACGGGTTCCCATCGTTATTTAATGTCCTTAGCAATATTGGTTGCGCTTTACCAACCCTACCCCATTTGCCATTGCAGGCCACTATTTATGGTTAGCCCCTTACCGTCTGTGACGGTCATCACTTCAGATAACTTCAATGACCAAATCGTCAATTTTGAATTGACTTATTCATGGCCCCTTATCGTCTGCGGAAGTTATCCCTTCTGAGAATTACAATCGTTTAGTTCACATCCCTGCATAATGAATTCGTCAATTTAGCCATTCCACGAATTTGTATTCGACTTACTGCCGTTTGTTAAATTCGCATGTTGACAAAAGAAATTCGGTTTATTGACCATTCAGGAACTTCAAATTCCACTAGCGTGCTTGCTACATCAGTGGATAAGGATCTCACTTTATGCATTTTCGGGAGGGGGGAGGTGTTAGCCCCCGCAATGTGGCTTGAGCCCCCCCCCCCCTAATGCTCCTCTGAGCCCCATCAATGCATATGAAGAAAGGGAGAATGCTGGGCCAAATCAACACGGAGCAATTATCTTAACTATTGGTATACTAGATTGTGGATACCTAAACACATCGCCGTTAATTGGTACCAGGCTGATTTTGTGCCAAATATCCTGTAGGTACCTAATATCTGTCTTTCCAACTCCTTCATCTTAAGCCAGTCTGCAAATGTCGCACAGCGATTTTCAAATAATAACGCCTACATTGGGATGAAGAACAATTGACTGCAAGGTGTGGCAGCCTGTAAAAGTGTAGTGCGGCCCACTTAAAATTAGCGCAATCGCATCCCAACAGCGGAAGGGTATTCATGCCGCATAATCGTAGCTTCGGGGTTATTCAGTAATCCCTTATTGAGATTTACTAAGATGTTTTTCTCTGTAGATTGCATACCCATCCTACACGAGCTCGACTTTGGAGGTCATTTCTCAGCAGAAAAAAAAGAGATCTGCGAATCACTAGACCTTTTCATCTTCACCGAGAACACAAATTCAAGTGGCAGAAATCCAATAATAAATCGGTGTGTGGGTGTCGGTTAGGTCAACCACTTCGTCTGAGCCCCCAACTGATTTGAGAAACTAACACCGCTGCTGGTGAGTTCCCGTTTGTTTTCATTATACTTTTGTCTTGCTTTTTATCGGGGTGGGCTTTTCAACGCATTGATCTAACTTAGTAAGATCGATTGCCGAATGTATCTAGATCTTGTGCATGACAACTGCACTCTAATATCTGTTACCATCGGAACACCAGAGGTTCGAGGTTCGATGGCCGTGGTGGCCGCGCTTCCTGCCAGGGTGAGAGACGGGCAATGCCATACAGTCTCAGCAGCTGAGTGCGTCGTTAAGCTCCAATGACACGCAAACATGTTATACCATATCCTCCTCTCGCGCCGAACCAGGCGTCTTATCGGCCACGACCTTCCTGACACAAGCCACACAATATATGCCACAAGACACAGGTGAAGGATGTATCTGGACACAAACGCTGCACTGGACTGATGACTCGTAGGTGTGAGTACGGGACTGATTGCACTTTACTGTGGTTTGGCCCTAGCATTGAGAGTCCCCGTCAAGCATTGCTGTGAAAGGAGAACAAAGCACTCAAGCCACGAAGAGATGCAAGGTCACATATATCCACAACCTTTTAGACAGCTGCTGACCCACCAGGTGAAAATGATACCGGGCAGCACGAATGTGACGTGCACTAGCTTCTGCTGAGGCGCCACAAGGGGCGTCTGGTGCCAGCCTCTGATCTGCTTATTCACGCTGGGTTAGATCGAAACCGCTGTATGGTCCATTCGTGTGCGAAATACGCCTAGAATGCTGTCAAACTCAACCTCCACACAGATCTCAGCTGTCTCCAAAGGACAAAACGGGCAGTTTATCAGACGAATGGTCACTGATGCATCCCTCGGGGTGCGCTTATTTACTGCGTCTTGTGCTGCCATCTTTGGCGATTGCTTGTGCCGCCATCTAACGCACCCTCGAGTGACCGGCTCAGTACGAAGCGCTCTAAAGGCGGTCATTTTGACTCAAGATATAAAAAGAGAGTTAGATGCAGCACATTCACAGTTTAAAGCTGTGATATATGTGTGATTGTTTTTTATAAAAGTATTTGGTCCCTAGAGCATGAATTCGGGCCTGATAAAGTCAAACAAGGTTAAATACGACATGTGTGCATGAAGCGCGTTCAGATCTCCTCACGCGACCAGCGTTTACCTGGATACCTGCTCAAAAGAAATATTTCTTCTTTAAATTGAATGTGTCATGTTATATGATCTTAAGGAGATCAAGATGACCAAAGCCCCTCTGGGTTATTTTGCTATTTTGATCTCAGTAAGGGTCCGGAACTACCTAAGGCGGCATGTTCCTCAAACCAAACGGTTGACTTGGGTCATCTTAGGTCGGTGACCTCTTCTGACCTTTATGAAGTCCAACTAATTTTTATAACGTTCTGACGATCAAGGCACTTGAATACAGCGTCTAAAACTGTCCAAAATAGCCCAAATTGCACAAAAGCTGCCCAAGTATAAAAAACGATCAGGCTTTACCTCGATCTATCCTTCATTCCCAGGGTCAATGGAATTAGCCGTGATCCTCTTTTTGATCGCCCTATTGTCTAATTAACCATTTCGATGTAATTTGACTTTGCCTACCTATCCGCTGTCGCATCAGCTTGAAAGATTCCCTTGGAATTGCCTTTACTGAGACCCGTGGCCTGACTTTGACCTGCCACAGGCCAGTGACCTTATGAAGCATATGTAACCACTTTAAACCCAGCGAATGGTTATTCAGCTGCCTACAGATGTGTCAGGTTCGCCGTGGCTACATCTCACTGTTTGAAAATGCATTCTGGAAAAAACCTTAGTTGGATCAAGTCCACCTCCCAGAGCGCGCTTTATAACAACCGGGTACTAGTGTCTGTAAGCGACAAGCGGCCGGGACCTTAAAGCTGGATCTTAACCATGTGAAGGCATACTTTGACATCAGATACAGATTAGCTGCTTTTAACGACAATGCAGACGAAATGATAATCATGATAATATTTATTTTCCAGTATTTCCCAGTCCCAGTGCAGAAAGACCGGTGGCAGATTTTCATTTTTGCCATTATGTTTATTTGATGCATGCTGCCGTCTAAAGCACCATCGTCTTATGTCATCGCCAGAGTCGCAGTGTTGCCGCTCCCACAAGTCGCCGACGTGTTTCAAGGTCAAGGGCAACCTCCTTCGGATCATGACGCGGAAACAAATGGCGAGCGTGACGCGCTTCTAATTTCTGTAAAAAATATAAAATTAGGTGCGAAGTCATACGTTGATGAACTCTTGGAAAGCTGGGCCTTTGTGCCACTGTCGTGGTCGAGACGCAGGATGCTGGCTTCGTCATTCAGCACTTCTGGGTACGACTACCAGAGCGTTGTTTGCTCCCTCTTACGTGGTAAAACGAGTGCCAACTGAGCAGAGCAGGCACGGAGCCAAAGCCCTGAGAAGCAAGTGACACAGGGTTGACAAAGGGCCACCTGCCGGTAAAAGCCCGCCTCCCCCACCCCCTTCCAATCGCCTAATATGGCCTGTTTCCCTTTGAAATTTTTCAGTCTTAAATTCCGTTACTGGAATAGAAGTGACAGGCTACCGCGAGATCAATTCCGCCTGAATTGCGTAGTCAGTCAATTGTAGAAATCATGCATGAAACAACTGCATGAAATAAATCATCAACGCTTTTCATCTTACAATGGCCAAGTGGACTCCTAAACCGACAGAACTCAAAAACTTCGTCAGAGTCTTTATGTGGGCTGTACAGAGTATTAAGAACCCCGCAAATGTAAATCGAAATGGGTCAGCAATTTGTATCAACATGACCAGGGCATGTTTGTATGGAAATTTTGAAAATTCAGTCAGAATTGGTACCTGATACAAATAAGGCAACGTAGTTTTGAGGGTGCACGCTCGTAAACCTTAGAAACAAAACTTCAATTGCAGTCTTTACAGTCCGCGAGTTGTTGGTCTCGCGGCTCACACGAAGCCGTCGTCTGCGGACGGAGTGAAATGATCACGCATTTGGAAGAAGTACGTTTGAACGCTTTGGGGCATCAAACCGCACATTTAAAATGT